TAAAAAAAAAAGACTACTTAAGAGTCCTACAAACTTGCCGTCTCACATCTTTCAAGAAAACATCTTGTGGATTCATCCAGTCTTTATTCTATAATGATGGCTTTAAAACAAACAAACAAACAAACTGTTTTTCTAATTTTCCCCAATCAAATTGTGACTTTGCAGACAGTTTATATTGCTTGATTACCATGGATTAAATGATATTGTCCTGCATTATCTGCTTGATGCACCAAATGCTTCAAGATTCCTTGCATAGCAATTATATTATTGCAGGGTCTACCATCTGCCAGATTCTACAAGAGCTGCAATCTGGCATTTTCCTTCCATTGTGTAACATTTATATTATTCCAAATTGCATGTATTACAGAACTTTTTATTGAGTGTCTGTAGGGTATTTTGGAATCACAAAACAATATTCAAGTAAAACTGTACAGCATAACAGCTATTAAGGTAGAAGTCAGAAACTATTGGAGTACAGATAAAGAGAATAAACATCCTTAAACTAAATAGGAGGGGATATTGTAAAATGGCAAGGGGGACACAGTATGGGCATCATATGCCCTCACACCTCCTGATGATACCCCAGAAACCACCCCTGTAATTCTTTTTAATTAATAACCTCCTGTTCTGGAAATATATATATATATATATATATATATATATATATATATCCACTCCCTTTTGAAGAATCTGTCAGTGCCATCTGGTTCCAATGGTGAGATGAGTATGTGTCCATTAGGCAAACACCACTAACTCGTTTCAGTCAATGGCCTTAACTATCTGATTTTATACTTGCTCTCTGTGCCTGAGTATGTTCACATAGGAGTTAATTCTTGACAGACATGCAGAGAAATGCTGCTAGAATGAATGCCATGCTGAGCTAGATGAAGGCCAGTAGACCAAGTAAGTAAAGAGCTCTCTGATGCACAGTATTCTCTTCCTAGTTGGCAAGAGTGTTTTCTGAGACAAACACGCATTCCTTATAAGGAATTATCTATTGTCCTACCTATCTGACCAAATTTAAATGTATGGAATAACAACATTTTCTTGGCTATAAAATACATAGAATTTGTTATAGCAAGATACTATCTCCTCCTCGTCCTCCTCAACATTCATATTTTCCCTCTCTCTAAATAACTGTTTTGATTACACCTCTGGGGTGGATCTGGCCACCTAAAGTAATGAAGTTCTGTGCTACCTTAAATTGTCAAGCTGTAATACCCAGTGAAGCTTGGGAGAAATCATTAACCAGCATGAATTATCTTTCAGGGTAAATGTCTCTTTCTTTGGGTGTTCAAACATTCTTCCCATTGCATATCAGTTTCAGCTGCCCCTGAGAGTATGGCTCTCCTGATTCGTAATTAAATACTATTTTGTATGAATAAAAAAATAATGTGCCTCCCAGGCATTTCCCAAGTGAATTTTGTGTCTCTCATACAGTCTAGAAATTAACTCAGACCATCTCAAACATCACCTCTAAATTTTGTGATAATTCATCCCAATAATGACATGTTATGCAGTAGCAAACAGATAAACAGACTGAAAATATCATTCATACAGTTCAGGCAAAAGTTCTCAGAATGGCAATTTTTTGCAAGCTCAACTCATCCACATTTTTCAAATCATATATAGGCTGAGTCTCACTTACCTGAAATTCTGGAATCCAAAATTGTCCACATAGGTGGCTGAGATAGTGACACCTTTGCTTTCTGATGGTTCAGTGTACACGAAGCTACTATGAACGAAGCTATTAAAATATTGTATAAAATTATCTTCTGGCTATGTGTGCAAGGTATATATGACACGTAAATGAATTTCATGTTTAGATTTTAATCCCATCTCTATGATAGCTCATTATATATATGCAAGTATTCCGAAATCTAGAACACTTCTGGTACAAAGCATTTCGGGTAAGGAAGACTCAACCTGTATGTCTCTACACTCTATGTATGAAAAAATAATTGTGGTGCCCCCCGGAACCCCTCAAAGTGAATTCTGTTTACAGCACACAACATATATACAGTGTGCCCACACCTTATGCCATCCATGTCTTTAAGCTCATGTGGATGGCAAGCCCTGCATCTTTGAATGGTCCGCATGTCCGCGATACACCAGCAACACCGTGCACAGGAGCATAGCGGCCATTAACAACAACGGGACTTGAGGTCCCACTTTTTTTACATACGTTGGGAGAGGGCTCCAGAATGGATCCCCATGTATACAAAGGGCCCACTGCATTAAGCAAGACCATCCCAAACATTCCTTCCACAAGTGGTGAAAATCCATCTAACTGTTTCCACATGTTACAGTAACAAACATATAGACAGAAACTGATTTTTATTTATATAAATAAACTTTCATGGACTATAATAACAGAGGTATGCTGCATTTCATCTCCCCCTGTCTTTGCAACTATGCAGTGTCCTCCAGTTATGCACCCAAGCAAATGTATGATAAGCTACTAACTGAGGTAATACTTTGATGAAGTGGACCATAGCCCATGAAAATGTTTGAAAAACAAAACCTATTACTCCTTCAAAGTGGAATAAGATTTTGCTGTTGTTTAAATATTTACCATTCTCAACAGCATTTATTATTTACCACCATTTTACCAGCATTTACTATATTATGCACTGTTTTTTACCTCATGTCCCAATGCAAAAGCTTTATCCACTTACTTTCTAAACATCAAACTTCTGTTAAAAGTACAAGCCTAAGAAGAAAAATGGCAAGCAGAAAATGGCAATAAGAAAAACAGTTCAAACTGCCTGGGGAATTATGAGAGCTGTAGTGCAAAAAAGTATCCCCCCGCAAGCTTTGCTCTAAATATATCATCATGCCTTGAGTTTTAGGGGAGCTAAAAGCACATCCTTGAAGACCAAGGTTAGGAACCATGCAACCCTTCAGGTGTTGTTGGATTGCAAATCTCTAGTCAGCAAAGCAAAAAGATCAGGCTTACAGTTGAACTTCTGGAAGACCCTATAATTCCTGTCTCAGATTTCACATGGAACAGATTTCTCATTATCACTATAGCAATGTTATTACTAACAATTTTCTAGAAACAAAAATATTGCAGGGCTGAAATACATTTGATACTAAAAATCGTCGGTCCTCCTTATCCACAGATTTTTTATCCACAGATTCAAGCATCTACAGCTTGAAAATATTTTTTTTAAAGTATAAATTCCAAATAGCAAACCTTGATTTTCCATTTTATATAAGGGACACCATTTTGCTATGCCATTATATTTAATGGGACTTGAGATTTTGTTATCCACAGGGGATGCTGGAACCAAACCTCATGGGATAACAAGGACCCACTGTACAAAGAAACACAATGACTTGATGTTATTAGTATAGACACATCCATATCCCACTCACAAGGCTGGTCTTCCAAAATGAGAAGAAACAGGTTAAAGTTCTATCTCTTAAACTGTTTAACAGCAAACGGCCTCCTGTTCAAGGAATTCTAACAAAGTTATTTCTGGCAAGTTCCACTTATGCAAAAGCTCTCATATTGACTGCAGGATACTGGTTAGCTAAGCAGCTATTATATCAAGAGCATCTGTCATGGCAGATGGCCAATATTTTCCCCCTCCCAGATTAGTCTTTA